AGAGAGGACAGGGAGGGAAGAGAGGACAGGGAGGGAAGAGAGGACAGGGAGGGAAGAGAGGACAGGGAGGGAAGAGAGGACAGGGAGGGAAGAGAGGACAGGGAGGGAAGAGAGGACAGGGAGGGAAGAGAGGACAGGGAGGGAAGAGAGGACAGGGAGGGAAGAGAGGACAGGGAGGGAAGAGAGGACAGGGAGGGAAGAGAGGACAGGGAGGGAAGAGAGGACAGGGAGGGAAGAGAGGACAGGGAGGGAAGAGAGGACAGGGAGGGAAGAGAGGACAGGGAGGGAAGAGAGGACAGGGAGGGAAACAATGGGTGAGCAGGGGGGAAAGAAAGAGTGAGCAGGGGGGAAAACGGGGGGAAACAATGGGTCAGCAGGGGAAAAGGAAAGAGTGAGAAAGGGGAAAACAATGGGTAAGCAGGGGGGAAAGAAAGAGTGAACAGGGGGGAAACAAGGGGTAAGCAGGAGATAGTGCGGGGAACTCGCATTGTTTCGGAGTGGGAGGTGCGATGTGAGAGAGGAAAAAATGGACACTGGAGAATGTCTACCCCCCCTCCACCTCCTCCTCCCCGCTCCCCCTCCCCCTTTCGCCCCCTTATTGCTGCTTATTCCCTCTCCTCCCCTCCCTCTCCCCCTTTCGCCCCCTTCTCGCTGCTTATTCTCTCTCCTCCCCTCTCCCCCCTCAGCCTTCTCGCTCCTCATCCCCTCTCCCCAAGACGGCAAAGGGAAAGGGGAAAGGTGAATAGGACGGGGGGAGGCAGGGCGAAGGGAAAGGGGAAAGCCTCCAGTAGGGAATGAGGAAACCAGCACGTACGGAATGAGAAGAGCAGCGCGAGGGGAAGCATGGAAGCAGCGCGGGGGGAAGCATGGAAGCAGCGCGAGGGGAAGCAGGGAAGCAGCGCGGGGGGAAGCAGGGAAGCAGCGCGGGGGGGAGAAGGGAAGCAGCGCGAGGGGAAGAAGGGAAGCAGCGCGGGGGAAGAAGGGAAGCAGCGCGAGGGGAAGCGGGGATGCAGCGCGATGGGGGGTTGCAGCGCGATGGGAAGCGGGGATGCTGCGCGATGGGGGGATGCAGCGCGATGGGAAGCGGGGATGCTGCGCGATGGGAAGCGGGGATGCAGCGCGATGGGAAGCGGGGATGCAGCGCGATGGGAAGCGGGGATGCAGCGCGATGGGAAGCGGGGATGCAGCGCGATGGGAAGCGGGGAAGCGCGATGGGAAGCGGGGATGCAGCGCGAGCGGAGGGAGGGTACTAGAACGAGGGAAGGGAACTTGGAGGGAACGAAGCAAAACAGAAGCAGGGGAAACGGCTACCATTGGGCTAAACTGCACGAGCGGCGACGCTGAAAGCGAGGAGCGGAGAAATGGGAATAGAATGCGCTGAGCTCGAAAAGGGGAGCGGGATTGCACGAGAAAATAGTTGGACAGTGAAAAGCGACGCGATGGTTGCAACGAGCGACGCTGGTTGCGACGAGCAACGCCGATTTTGCGGCAACCGTCGCCGAGTGGACGCTGCAATACGCGGCGACTAGCAGCGACACTCATGCTTTGAGCTGAGAGTGAAAGGCGACGCGTGACGATCATCTGCCTAGCGTGTTTGCTTCAACACGGCGAAAAATGGTGACTTGAATGGCGAGCGCAGATCGGCCAGCGACGAACTGCGACATTTGAGATCCAAGCTGCAAATGGATACGATTGGCGACGAACGGGAACCGAACAACGGGCATTGAACGCTCGGCGACGAACGACCATCGCGCGAACAGAAAGCGGGGAGCGGTAAGAGGTGGAGAGCCCGAAACGATGAGCTCCGCCTTGTTGCAAATCGGCAACGAGGCGGAAGCGACGAGGTGAAAGCGTGGCAGAACGCGGAGAGTCTGAACGCGGGGAGCACGTTTTATTAGCTACTATTTTCTGTCAGAGTCTCTAGGTGAGGGAAGCTGTCTCTGAGGTTGGGGCCCGACTTTTGGTATACTAACTCACCAGCGAAGCGGATCAAGTTCTAATCTCGCGAAAATGTTCCCGCTGTTGGTTTGGCAACTCCCACCCCCCTCCCGAAACCTTCCGCCACGATTGTTCGTTTCTCCGCAGAGGGGTACTTGTGGGGGAAAGGTTACCCTGTTCTCAAGTGATAAACCTTTGCCTCCCGCTCAAAGTATGTAGACCGCAGCTTCAAGGATTTTATGGCGACCGCTACTCTTCCTCCCTGGGCCTGCGTAAGCTCCAGAATGGCCCTTAATTACGTGTCGCGCAGTCATTTGTCGGACCGCGTTTTCAGCAGGTTCAGTATCACCCACTTTGGCAATCAAACGAGCCGTCAAAACGCGCCGAACCAGCGTTTCTGTCAAATTTTGTCTGGTAATGCGTTGATCAGGAGTTCTTCGCACAGCCGATTGTCTCATAGAAACGTCTCGCACAGGGATTCTTCGCACAGCCTGTCGCATAGACGTTTGTCGCACAGCAATCCGTCGCCTGGAAGTTTCCACGACCAGGCTCTTCGAAGCGTGTCAGCGAGGAGCCAATCAGAGGCCGGAACAGCTGCGATAAGCGCTCCGCTACTAGCAGAAGCCGAGCCGCCACCAGAACGAGCTTCAGACCGCGCACCCGTGTATCTTAAAGACATGAGCTTCCAGCAACTAGAGGTGAGTCCGAGACACGGCTTTGAGCATGGGAAGGTGGGGGAGATTTTTGAGAAATTTGGAAAAAAAAAATCTGCATAATCAGGGACAAAAGGGGGTGGATAGGGGTGGCTGGGTTGGGCCTGGATGCGCGATAATATCTCTAAACTGGTGTTGATTGCGATTGTGCGTGTTGTGACTATATCGCAGGATTGGGTGGCCGCAGAGTGCGGGGAGGAGCACAGGAAGCGAGCGAAGGTGCTGTGGAAGTGGCTGTATCGAGATGCGCATTGGGCTGAGAGCGTCGATGACATGGCAGGTGAAGTTGGTGACGTGTCAGGTGCAGGTGCTGACGTGGCTGATCAGGCTGACGATGTGATTTCGCTAGCTGCTAACACTTACTTTCCAAGCCCATTCGCCTTCCCATTCCTCTCTCTTTTGAGACTTCAAGGCACTGTGAGGACGTTCACACGGTGTGTTTTGAGACTAATGTGAGCTCGCCCAGTGAGGACGTTCACATGGCTGAAGGGACTTCAAGGCACTGTGAGGACGTTCATTCACACGGCAAGAGTTCCTCACGGCAAGAGCAAGCCGCTGCGGTTCGAGTCCTTCTCTACTCTACTCTGCAAGAGGCTACCACAGTGAGGATGTACAGGAACTCTCACAAACTCTTTTGAGACTTCAAGACAGTGGGAGGACGACGTTCAAGAACTCTGCGTGTGATGAGTCGATTTTTTAGTCGACTCAAAAGTCGACACTGTGAGGATGTTCAGGAACTCTTACAAACGTTATGAATGACTATCTATCCCTCCTAAAAAGCCTTCGCCCAAATTCCTGAATCCCCAAACCTGCTTGCCTGCAGGGGTCAGTCGCTCCTTCCTCTCCCTCCTCGCCTCCTCGGGTGCTCGCTTCTCCTCCCTGCGCCTCCACTCCGTTCGAACAGCCGCCGACGGCACAAAGAAGGTGGGTGAGTGATGCACACACACAGACAGACCTTCAAAGGAAGGTGGGTGAGTGATGCGCACACACAGACAGACCTTCAAAGGAAGGTGCGTGAGTGATTTCTGTTTGACCTGAGCCGCGACGCTGACCTGGCTTCTTCTGGCCGGCCCAGGAGACTCGGAGTGGTGGAGACTGTTCTCATCCCCCACAGAGAGGCCTTGTATTGCACAAACCGCATCCAACCACTCCCAACTCCCCCATACACACACTCTTTGCTTGCCAGGTGCTGTTTGAGCTGAGCCGCGATGCTGACCTGCGTCCTTCTGACCGTCCTAAGAGACTGGGAGTGGTGGAGACTGTTCTCATTCCCCACCGACCAGGGAGAGGAGGGGGGGGGGGAAGAGGAGGAGGAAGAGGAAGACGGAAGTAGTAGTGAGGACGAAGCAGAGGGTGGTGGTATGAGCAGCATCGGTGGCATCAGCAGCAGGAGCAGTGGGAGCAGCAGAAGGAGTAAAGGGGGGCGGAACACTGTGTGTGTGTCGACTCAGCTTGGCTGCGCCATGGGTTGTCAGTTCTGCTTCACTGCCAAGTGAGTAGCTTCATGTGTGTGTGCACACCTGCTAGTACACACAAACAGCATCAGGAGCAGCGGCATCAGTAGCAGCAGTAGCAGCAGCAGGAGTAAGGGTGGGCGGAACACTGTGTGTATCGGTGCGGCTGGGTTGTGCCATCGGGTGCCAGTTCTTCTTCACTGCCAAGTAAAGGGGTTGGGATCTGGTATATCTGTAGGACTTGTGTCTCAAATCAGCTTGGCTTCACAACCAACCAAGTAAACACAACCCAACAATAGGGGAGATCGTAGACCAGATGGTTCATGCTCAGTAAACCCGTCCCATGTCGTCCACCACACGCTCATCCCTTGTTATCTCATCTCAAGCTTTCTGCCCATGACATCTCAACACAACCTCCCGCATCCTACACAGCATTCAGCACACCTGCCCCTTGTCATCCCACTACACACCCACCCATCCCTTGTTATCTTAACACAACCTCCCGCATCCCACACAGCAGTCAGCACTCCTGTCCCTTGTCATCCCACCACACACCCATCGACACGACCTCCTGCGCTTTTGTTGCAGGATGGGCCTGCAGCGCAACCTGACAGCAGGGGAGATCGTGGATCAGGTGGTTCAGATTCGCCGACTCTTCACAGAGGAAGTCGGTCCCGTCACCAACCTTGTATTCATGGTCAGTCAGTACCCGCACACACGGCACTGCACTGCACTGCACCGCACTGCACCCCCCCACACGCAGGGAAACCTGACAGCAGGGGAGTTCTTGGATCAGGTGGTTCAGATTCGCCGGCTCTTTACAGATGAAGTTGGTCCCGTCACCAACCTTGTATTCATGGTCAGTCAGTACCCGCACACACGGCACTGCACTGCGCTGCACCGCACTGCACCCCCCCACACGCAGGGAAACCTGACAGCAGGGGAGTTCTTGGATCAGGTGGTTCAGATTCGCCGGCTCTTTACAGATGAAGTTGGTCCCGTCACCAACCTTGTATTCATGGTGGGGGGGTCGCCCAATTACCAGCAGTCGTCAGACATACAGCACCCCTCCCAGAACCTTTGCACGCCCTCTCCTCGCATCCACCTGTGGGCTGCCCTCCCCTGCCCACTGCCCGCCTGCTGCTTGCTACTGCTCACCTTCTCTTTGTCCGCCCTCTCTTTCTCTTTCTCTACTTGCGTTCCCGCTTCTCCTTCAGGGTGTGGGCGAGCCTCTACACAACCTACCAGTTGTGCTAACAGCATGCACCAGTTGTGCTAACAGCATGCACCAGTTGTGCTAACAGCATGCACCACCCTAGTCGACCCTCTGGGCGCCCACTGCTCGCCTGCTCGAACCACTGTGTCCACATGTGGGTTTGTCTTCACCCTCTGCTCGCATCCCCACTGCTTGCCTTCTGCACCCCCTCCTCAGGGAATGGGCGAGCCTCTACACAACCCGCGTGTAATGAGTCGAGTTCTGAGTCGACTCAAAACTCAAAACTTTTTGAGTCGACTCACAACTCACCCTCTGCTTGCATCCCCACTGCTTGCCTTCTGCACCCCCTCCTCAGGGAATGGGCGAGCCTCTACACAACCTGCCTGCAGTCCTCACAGCATGCAACACCCTCCTGGACCCTCTAGGCGCTCACTGCTCGCCTGCTCGCACCACCGTGTCCACCTGTGGGCTTGTGCCTGAAATGGTGGAATTTTGTTCCCACTCCCAAGCTAGTCTCGCCCTCAGCCTACACGCCACCACCGACGAGGTATGTGGTTCTTTCATTGGGAGTGTACAAGTGAGTTGTGTGCCATTCTGGGACATACCCCACACCCGCTCGCCTGCTCGCACCACCGTGTCAACTGTGGGCTACCCGTGTCAACTGTGGGCTACCCGTGTCAACCTGTGGGCTACCCGTGTCAACCTGTGGGCTACCCGTGTCAGTCAACCTGCTCCCTGAGATGGTGGAGTTCTGCTGCCAGTCCCAAGCCAGCCTTGCTCTCAGCCAGCACGCCACCACCGACGACGTGTGTACCCCCTTCTTTTTCTGGGATAGTCACCTTCTTTTTCGTGTGCGATCATTTCTGCCCCTCCCTCCCCCCTTCTCACCCCCGGCTCGCAAGCTCGCACCACCGTGTCCACGTGTGGGCTTGTGCATAAGACAAGGGAGTCCTGTTCCCACTTCCATGCTAGCCTTGCCTTGCCCCCACGCCTGCCTGAGACAGCTCTCCCTCCGAATAATATGTCTCTTCTTTTGACTCTCACGAACCCTCCTTCCCCCCCATGCCAGGTGCGCAGCACAGCAGCATCATGCCCATCAACAAGAAGCACAACCTCAGCAGCCTCTTCGCCTGCTTGAGACACCACTTCCCTGAGTCATACCTTCACGTACCCCTTGTACCATTAACACCCTCCCTCCCCGCCCCACCATCCCTTCACCAGGTGCGCAGCAGCATCATGCCAATCAACAAGAAGCACAACCTCAGCAGCCTCTTCGCCTGCTTGAGACACCACTTCCCTGAGTCATACCTTCACGTACCCCTTGTACCATTAACACCCTCCCTCCCCGCCACACCATCCCTTCACCAGGTGCGCAGCAGCATCATGCCAATCAACAAGAAGCACAACCTCAGCAGCCTCTTCGCCTGCCTGAGACAGCTTTTCCCATCGCCAACAGCACAGACTGCAGGGGATACGGGTGAGGGAGGTGACGGGAGGGGCCACCAGGACGGAGAAAGCGGTGCGGGTTTTCAGCAGCAGACCAAGAAACGCCATGTGTTCATCGAGTACCTCATGCTGGATGGAGTCAATGACAGGTACGAGATGTGTTCTCAGTGCCCCACCTGACAGGAGCGTGTAGTGTAGGGTCTTGAATGAGTGTGGGGCGAGTGAGTCACCCCCCATCGGAGTGGGGCGAGTGAGTCACCCCCCATCAGAGTGGGGCGAGTGAGTCACCCCCCATCAGAGTGGGGCGAGTGAGTCACCCCCCATCAGAGTGGGGCGAGTGAGTCACCCCCCATCGGAGTGGGGCGAGTGAGTCACCCCCCATCAGAGTGGGGCGAGTGAGTCACCCCCCATCAGAGTGGGGCGAGTGAGTCACCCCCCATCGGAGTGGGGCGAGTGAGTCACCCCCCATCAGAGTGGGGCGAGTGAGTCACCCCCCATCAGAGCGGGGCGAGTGAGTCACCCCCCATCAGAGTGGGGCGAGTGAGTCACCCCCCATCAGAGTGGGGCGAGTGAGTCACCCCCCATCAGAGTGGGGCGAGTGGGTCACCCCCCATCAGAGTGGGGCGAGTGAGTCACCCCCCATCAGAGTGGGGCGAGTGAGTCACCCCCCATCAGAGTGGGGCGAGTGGGTCACCCCCCATCAGAGTGGGGCGAGTGAGTCACCCCCCATCAGAGCGGGGCGAGTGAGTCACCCCCCATCAGAGCGGGGCGAGTGAGTCACCCCCCATCAGAGTGGGGCGAGTGAGTCACCCCCCATCAGAGTGGGGCGAGTGAGTCACCCCCCATCAGAGTGGGGCGAGTGAGTCACCCCCCATCAGAGTGGGGCGAGTGAGTCACCCCCCATCAGAGTGGGGCGAGTGGGTCACCCCCCATCAGAGTGGGGCGAGTGAGTCACCCCCCATCAGAGCGGGGCGAGTGAGTCACCCCCCATCAGAGCGGGGCGAGTGAGTCACCCCCCATCAGAGTGGGGCGAGTGAGTCACCCCCCATCAGAGTGGGGCGAGTGAGTCACCCCCCATCAGAGTGGGGCGAGTGAGTCACCCCCCATCAGAGTGGGGCGAGTGGGTCACCCCCCATCAGAGTGGGGCGAGTGAGTCACCCCCCATCAGAGTGGGGCGAGTGAGTCACCCCCCATCAGAGTGGGGCGAGTGAGTCACCCCCCATCAGAGTGGGGCGAGTGAGTCACCCCCCATCAGAGTGGGGCGAGTGAGTCACCCCCCATCAGAGTGGGGCGAGTGAGTCACCCCCCATCAGAGTGGGGCGAGTGAGTCACCCCCCATCAGAGTGGGGCGAGTGGGTCACCCCCCATCAGAGTGGGGCGAGTGAGTCACCCCCCATCAGAGTGGGGCGAGTGGGTCACCCCCCATCAGAGTGGGGCGAGTGAGTCACCCCCCATCAGAGCGGGGCGAGTGAGTCACCCCCCATCAGAGCGGGGCGAGTGAGTCACCCCCCATCAGAGTGGGGCGAGTGAGTCACCCCCCATCAGAGTGGGGCGAGTGAGTCACCCCCCATCAGAGTGGGGCGAGTGAGTCACCCCCCATCAGAGTGGGGCGAGTGAGTCACCCCCCATCAGAGCGGGGCGAGTGAGTCACCCCCCATCAGAGTGGGGCGAGTGAGTCACCCTCCTGACTGTGTGGTTGATGCTCCAGTGGCAATCTAAGAAGCGCCATGTGTTGATCGAATATCTGATGCTGGATGGGGTGAGTAACAGGTACCATTTAGTGAGTGGGTGTGTGTGTCTCAGTGCGGGGTTGCAGTCAGTCAAGTAAACGCCATGTGTTGTTCGAGTACCTGATGCTGGATGGGGTCAACGACAGGTGTGTAGCAGTATAACTAGTGACAGGGAGGAGGGTGTGAGCATGTGGGACTGCAGCAGTGCAGCAAGCACATGTGTTGATCGAGTAGCTGTTGCTGGATGGGGTCAACGGAGGTATACAGTAGTGATCCATACAACATGCCTATGTTTGCCTTGCTCGCGTCTGACTGTAGGGCTTTGACGTCACCCCCCATCAGAGTGGGGCGAGTGAGTCACCCCCCATCAGAGTGGGGCGGGACAACGCACGTCGCCTTGTCACCCAAACGGAGAGCATCGCATGCAAGATCAAGCTGACAGTCTTCAACCCGCACCCAGGAACAGCACACCTCGTTCCCTCTCCTCCCTTCCCTTCCCTCCCCTGCTTTTCTTCCTACAGTATGGACGATGCACATAGGCTTGTAACCCTAACAGAGGGCATAGCATGCAAGATCAACCTGATAGTCTTCAACCCGCACCCGGGAACCGCACTGCAACCATCCCCACTCCCCCGCGTGCTGGCCTTCCAGCATGAGCTCGTGCAAGGGGGCAGAAAAGCGTATCTGCGGCACAGCCGAGGAGACGATGAGATGGCAGCGTGTGGGCAGCTGGGGCAGGTGCCTCGGCTAACAGGGGAGAAACAGGCAAAGGCGGCTTCTGTAGTGTAGGGCTTGTTCCTTAGCTGTCAAGACCCCAGTCTCGAGTTTAAACGAGAGCAGAGCAGAAAGGCATATCTGTGGCACAGCCGGGGCGGGGGGACGATGAGATGGCAGCATGCGGGCAGCTGGGGCAGGTGCCCCCGGCTTACGAGAGAACAGAACAAGTCAGGGGTGGCAGCTTTAGCGAAGAGTGCAGAGCCAGCAGCTGGGGGGGCGATGAGATGGCTGCGTGTGGGCAGCTGGGGCAGGTGTGCCGTGGCTTGCTTATAAGAGCAGAACAGTGGTGGCTACTGTAGTGTAGGGTTGTCAATTTGCTCATGTGCTCGCCTTCCAGCATGGGCTTAGGGAACGTTCCTGTGGAGACACTTGTGTCTCAATCCCCTTTTTCCCGAGTCGCGCCTGTAAATTTGCCGAATGTTATGTCACAAACAACCAATGTATCTCGACTCTGGGCGACAAATGTGCATGGCCAGTTGGGCGCTTTCTATTGGTGGCGACCAATTGGTTCGGTCCACCTCCCCCTTTTCCCGCTGGGCATCCCAACCTAAAAAAGCAGAATCAGAACTGGGGTTTGGAGTACAAGGACGGAGTGGAGCGGGAGAGGGGTGTCAGCGTGGTCGAGACGGTGTGCTGAAAGTCGGGCAGGGATGTGACCTCACGGTCGCATCCACCAGTCATCTGTCTGCCTGGGCAGAGCGGTTTCCTATTCCCGCGCAAAGTTTGCTGATTTCGGGAGTCCAGGTGCATGCGGTACAGCGTGACATTTCGACACGCGTGCGATTTCCGGGGTGTGACGGGGCCTCGTGTAACTCGTCCGCGACACCCCCGCAATTCCCGCCAACCAATGTAAAATACAGTGTGGATCGCATTTGTGCGGTCCGCGTTTGTGACACATGCCGTTATATGCTGTTTTCCAGTGTCACAAAGGGATTGAGACACAAGTGTCTCCACAGGAACGTTCCCTTATTGCTGGTTCGGGTAAATGCACAACAATTCTGCAAGGCTCAATCCGTTTGTCTCTGCTCCGTGAATTGTTAAGAATAAGAAACGAGGACCAATACCATTGTGCGATTGTCAACAGACCACAATGAAACCCGCAACAGCCAGCCAGCCAGCAGCAGTCAGAGCTAAATACCCCTTTGCCAAAAACATGTAAACAGAGTGCATCGATCTCATCAAAGCATAATGAATGAAAACCATCAGAGCCATCAGACACAGCCCTGGCCCCGCCTCGCTCCGTCCCATCGAAATCGGATTCCCCATGATCTTCCCATCATCTTCCCCATCAACCCCTCTCCTCTTCTCTAGGCGCCTCAAGCGGCTCGGACCTCCCTGCTCCACCCACAATCAGCCACATTCACTCCTCCATCCCCCTCCCTCCCACAAGCATCCCCCCTCCCACCTACCTCCTCCCCCCTTCCCCCGCAACTCTCCCCCCACCTCCCCCGTTCGGGATGCACGCAGTTCCGCGAGATCCCCCCTTTGTACGCCTCATTGTCCCCCCGCCACCACTCACGCGCACACTACCAACTACTCCTCCCCCACTGCCCTGCGACTCTCCCCTCACCTCCCCCGCTCAAAATCTACCCGGTTACGCGAGCTCCCCCCCCTCGTACGCCTCGTAGCTGCCCCCGCCTCCTCTCGCGCGCATGGTCCTCCCCGCGCCACCTCATCCAGCTCCTTCTCGCCCATCTTCACCTGCGTCAAAAACTGATCCAACCCACTGCCTCGGCCCCCACACCCCCTCCCCCCTCCGCCCGCGCCCACCGCATCCAGCACCTTCTCGCCCGTCTTCACCTCTTCCCCACATCACCTCCCCCGCTCAAAATCCACGCGGTTCCGCGAGCTTCCCCCCTCGTACGCCTCGTAGCTCCCCCCGCCTCCGCTCGCGCGCATCGTTCCGCCCGCGCCCACCTTATCCAGCGCCTTTTTCCCCGTCTTCACCTGCGTTAAGAACTGATCCAGCCCGAACGGATCCGCCTCAACCGCCGCGTCGCGCTCGAACTCCACAGGCCCGTCGCGCGGCGCCCCGCCGCCGCCGCCCGCGCCCCGCTCCGCCGCGCCCGCGAAGCCCTTATCCGGCTTGAACCGCTCCGTGCGCAGCAGCGCGTCCGCTCCGCCCTCCTCCCCGCCGCCCCTCCCCGCGTACACCTCCTCGTCAACCCCCTTGCGCACCTTATACAGTCCGCTTGCGCCCTCGCGGTTGAACAGACCCTTGTCGTAGATATTATACGTGTCGTCCGCGGCAAAACCGGACTCCATACCCTGCTCCTGGTTGAAAAGCCGCTGGTCGTACATGATCTCCCCGCCGCCGCCGGCGCCGCCCACGTTCGCGAGCCCAAGCGCCATTTTCTCGCTGATATCGCGGTCGCGGTCGCGCGTGAGCTTGCTCTTCTTTCCGCCCGCGCCTTCCTTCGCCTCCAGCCGCCGCTCCCGCTCCCGCTCCCTGCGCCGCTCCTCCCGCAGCTCCTCCCTCCGCATCCGCTCCTCGCGCTCCTCCCGCGTCTCCCCGCGCCGGGGCTCGTCCCCTTCCGCCCGACCGTACCCGGCTTCCGCTCCGCCCGCGGCAGCCTCCCGGGAAGCCAGCGCGCCTGCGCCAGCCCCTCCGCCTCCGCCTCCGCCGGTGCCTCCGCCTGCGCGCTCCATGCGCGCCTTTTGCGCCAGCAGGCGGAGCTCCTGCTCCTTCTTCTCCTTCTCTAGAAGCATCCTCTCCCGCTGGATCTTAGACCGCATCTCCACCTCCTCGCGCGCCTTATTCTCCGCCACGTATAGCGACTCGGACAAGCGGGCGAAGTTGTCGTTAATCTGCACCTCCTGCAGCCCGCGTCCGTCGGCCGCGAGACGCTTATCCAACGGAATGGTATACCCCTTAGGATTCTTCCAGTTGGAAATGCAAGGCGGGATTTTCCAGTCCTGCTGGTCCTTCACCGTAACCGGTCGAGGCGGCGAGTGCATCACCGGGACCGGCGGCGAGCCGGACGCTTTCGGGACGCGCTTGTGCTTGAATTTAGGAGGCTCAAGCGGATCGACCGGCATCTCGACCATACGAATAACGCGCTCCTTCGCGCCGGAATTGTGAGCCGAATTCTGCATACCGGGAGTGTATTTGATATACTGTGGGGTCTTGGAAATGCCAGGGACGTTCTTAGGCTGAGCCGCGCTGAGCCGAGCCGTGACAATCTTATCTATGGCTGCCTTAGTGCGCTCCGCCGTTTCCTTCGCCTCATCCTCGTCCTCTTCTTCCCGAAGCGCCTCCAAATCCTCGTCCTGAATCTTCGGGATAAGGTCCTTGTGCTGGCTGTACACCACCTTCTGCGAATTTTCCCCGAGCTTCACTATAGCGTCGTACGCGATATTTCCTTCCCCGTCTACAGTCACAGGAAGCACCTTGTTGGTGACCTTCTCCTGTTTCCGACCCATATCCAACGGATACTGCGCCACGTGGATCTCGGGGAACGCGCCGCCATCGCCGAAGTCCTCGACGCGCCGCGGGACGAAACCTTGCCTCTTGCCGTAAGGAGGTATCTGGCGTTTAGGGACAATCTTACCCCCTGCTGCTGCTCCGCCAACTGCGGCATCTGGATCTCTGTCGCGATTCGCGAACCAGGCGTCTGAGGAAGCGTCGTAAACGCTCTTGTTTTTAGGCGCAGGGAGCTGACTCAGGAACTTGAAAGCTGACGTGGACGCCATGTTTCTACACCTGCGAATCGGCTCTTTCCACTGGCTGGTTCAAGCACGCAAGCCGCAGGTAGAAGCGAAACAATGCAAGACTGCAGAAACCGCAGCACTTGCTCTACCCACGCAGCACTTCCGCACTCGGTCAGTTCAGCAGGCACCTACACCTTCTCACCTGGAGGAAATGCCAGGCTCTACCTTCAAGAAAAGCTGGTACCCTATGGATCCCAACTTCTTTGAGGTTGTGTGAAGCAGAAAGAATGGCGGAGGAGAGAGCTAGGGTTCTGAGAATGGAGCTGCCGAACAAGACACCTTTAGGTTAGGTTGGGCGGAATCGGTTGCGGATGATTTGGAATGTTTTCTTGCGGTGAATCCCAATGTTGTAGTGCCATCGTGAGATTGTTCGGGAGTTGTGAACCGTGCGATTGTTCAGGTCAAATCCAGTGGTTGTTTGAGGTGGTTGGTGGTGGTGCTTGTACCGAACAGGGCCGTTCCTTGTGTTGCCAGGCAACAGAGTTGCGACGATTGACGAAGAAAATCACTTGTTCGCTGATCTACCGTAACTTGTCCAGCGTTGTTGCCAGACATGCGTTTTCGCCAGACCTGTGTCTCGCCTGTCAGCAATTCCCCCCTCCAGCCCATCCCAAACCAACCCGCGAATTTTGCCGATGGCTAAGAAGTAAAACTTTGCAGTGGCGCGGGATTCTCTAGGCTTGCGCAGGCACCCGCTAGCTGCGCTGACGACAGTATTCCGCCAGCGGCATCTCTCGGCCTCCCCGTTTCGTCATGCCGTTCCCCTGATTGTGCGAGGAGGAATTCTGAACACAGATTTGGACAACACCAAAGAAGAAACGAACCAAACCGTTCATTTTCTACGTCGAACCCAAACAAACCTGCTGCTGACCCCGAAACACACCCAAGCATTTTCCATGTGAATGGTCGTATCATTGCTCGCTTTTCTGAAAAAACAATATCGAGGAATCAGCATTTTGTTTCACAGTAGCATTTTTATTTTGAAATATACTCGCCGTCTATTCCGCTTTAGGATAGGATAGCGGTAGGCGTTTCGTCTCTGTTGGCCCTTACGCGTCTCGCATTCCACCGCCGTAACCCCGACGTGTACGAGTAAAACAAAGAGGTAAATCTATGCCATCCTTGTATTCTTCCAGTGAAGCCGAGATCGCCTGGCCTCCGTTGGCTAGACATTCCAGTTCCTATTCTTGCTCGCACCATCGCGAAGGCTCATAAACTCTGATCAGTCTTCCCGATCACCCGTTTCGTCGTCTTCCTGCTGTTCCCTGATTCCATTTCACTCGCCTCGGATCGCCAGATGTCGAAGCCGTATTGGCTCGTGTCTCTACCGCTGCACGGATCCAAGGAGAGCACGTGGGGTGCACTACAGGACAGCATCAATAGATCCCTGTCCGACCTTCCCTACTATAAGGTAGCCAGCTCGGGCCTCTTTGTCGGTGACGTCAGCAGAACATTGACATTCCTTTTCCTTTCCTTTTGTATGCCAACCGGAAATGTCTCGATCAAGCAATGACAGCACAAAAAACATGCCTGGTTTCAGTTTTATATCAAGCTTAGACTAACCCGCTACTTCAGACGTCAGATATCGTTATAAAGTTTCGGAATCGGAAAATAAAGGCAACCATGGTGAACAGCTTGTCGCAACTACTGCATTTACAGCTACCCGCAACTTTATTCAGATCTCTACTGAAATAATATGCGATTTGGCTAGTCGAATCTTGATCCGCACTCTTCCCGTGATCCAATCGTTGCAGCTTGTCGCTTGACTTTGCACGTGAGCGTCTTCAATCACGTGCATGCGATTGCTGTCCCTTCTGTCCCATCCCTGATCTTGGATATGCCTGATCCGCTGCTCCCATCTCTGTGCCTCGCAGCTGTACGTGCCGGGTCTGCGTGTGGGTACGCTCGACTCGCTTCTAGCCCTCAGTGACGACCTCGTCAAGGTGGGTGGTGTGACGGTTGGTGAGACGGGTTGTGAGCTGGATGGTTCGATAAATGGTGAGATAGGTGGTTAGATGGCTGGTCAAGGTTGAGGATAGGCGAGGAGTTGCAGGTTGCACTGCTCCTTCGCTCACTCGTTCTCTCTGTCTCGCAGGCAAGCGCGCATGTGGAGGGAGTGGCGAACTAGATGCGGTGGCAGATAGAGGAGCTATGCCTGCGGGTTGGCAGTGCAAGAAGTACATCATTGTCACGTGTTTCTTGCTGCTTTGCATCGCAGGCAAGCGCGCATGTGGAGGGAGTGGCGAACAAGATGCGGCGGCAGATAGAGGAGCTATGCCTGCGGGTTGACAGTGCAAGAAGTACATCATTGTCACGTGTTTCTTGCTGCTTTGCATCGCAGGCAAGCGCGCATGTGGAGGGAGTGGCGAACAAGATGCGGCGGCAGATAGAGGAGCTGGATCGGGTCCAGGGTACGAACTCCGGCGCTCTCTCTGTGGACGGCATCCCTGTCGATTCCTACATGACCAAGTGAGATAGGTCGTGAGCGGTTAAGGCCACTCGTGAGCAGGTTTTGAGTCAGATCGCAGTGCGGAGGCAGATAGAGGAGCTGAATCAGGTGCAGGACCAACTCTGGCTCTCTATCAGTCAACGGCATCCCTGTCGACTCCCTACATGACCAAGTGAGATAGCTCGTGAGCTAGTGAGGAATCGACAGTGAGGTCACTCATGGATAGGTGAGTGAGATGAGTCAAGAGCAGGTGGGTTGAGTCGTGAGAAGGTCGTGAGTCACATCAGATCACAGTGTGGAGGCAAATAGAGGAGCTGGATCAGGTGCAAGGCACCAACTCTGGCGCTCTCTCGGTCGACGGCGTCCCTTTCGGTTTCACAGGGCACATTTTGATAACTTTCCCCTGTTGTTTCTCTCTTGAATATTCCTTTCGGCTGGTGCTGATTCAGCTTTCACTGGGATGAAGCAAAGTACCCTGTGACCACGCCTCTAATGGTGGAGTCAATTCAGGAGGCACATTCTGATATTTTTCCCTGCTGTATTTTTCCCAAATGCTCCCCTTGCTTTGTGCTGCCTCAGCTTTCAGTGGGATGAAGCAAAGTACCCAGTGACCACGCCTCTAAGGGAAATGGTGGAGTCGATTCAGGAGTCCGTGTCTAAGATAGAGGACGACCTGAAGGTTCGTTATATGTAGCTTCATGTGATAGACTCTATAACGAGTATGCGACAACGCCTCTAAGGGAGATGATGGAGTCGATTCAGGAGTCCGTGTCTAAGATAGAGGACGACCTGAAGGTTCGTTATTAGTAACTAGATATGATAAATCTATGCCAGACTCTATGATGGGTATGAAGCAAAGGAGGTAATCTGAGACCACGCTTCTAAGGGAGATGGTGGAGTCGATTCAGGCGTCTGTTTCCAAGATAGAGGACGACCTCGAGGCTCGTTATACGTAACTTATTGTGATAGTCATAATGAGTATGCTTACCAGACTTATAACAAGTAGAAACCAAACGATGTACCCTGTGATCATGCCTCTAAGGGGTAGACAAGCGCAGCGAGCTGAGTTCAGTTGACTGGTTGACTCTAATGACCAAGCTCAGCAACTATGGATCTGTGCTGTTCCTTCCCCCTTATTGTTTCTTTCTCCCTGTTCCCCCCCAACCAGGTGCGGGCATCAGAGTACACAACAGTGCGCAGCCAGCTCAGTGCAATCAACCGCAAGGCTGGCGGCAGGTAATAAGTACATCCTTTCACAGGAGTCCGTCCTGCTTTTCTTAGTGCAACTTACCGTCTGGAGAGGCAAATGACACACGCTCGTTTCATCCCTACTTTGTTCTCAATGCCTGGCACTTGTCATGTCATTGCCCATGCCACAGACGTTCCCTTTTTTTCAACTGGATTGCTGGATTGGACAGGTGGGTCTGTTGTTATTCCGTCCCATTCCCTTCCCTCCCATTTTCTCTCCCTGCGTCCCCCTCTCCCCACCTTGCAGCATGCTCGTGCGAGATCTCTCCACCATAGTGCAGGAAAGCGACATCATCGTCTCGGAGCACATCAGCACACTCTCTCACTGCTTTCCCCTGCACTACAGCATGCTCGTGCGGGACCTCTCCACCATAGTGCAGGACAGCGATATCATCCAGTCCGAGCACATGACCACACCTCCCTCTTTATGCCTTCCTTCCCTCTCATTCCTGTTGCTCCCATTCCCATCCCATCCCCTGCACTGCAGCATGTTGGTGCGGGACCTCTCCACCATAGTGCAGGACAGCGACATCATCGTCTCAGAGCACATGACCACGCTGTCTCACTCTCATTCCCACCACTGTATGTTTCCCTCTCCTCCCTGTCCCCTATACCCCCCAACTGCAGCATGCTCGTGCGGGACCTCTCCACCATCGTCCAGGACAGTGACATCATTGTCTCAGAGCACATGACCACGCTGCTCGTGGTGGTGCCCAAGTATTCCGAAAGGGATTGGCTCGCTTCTTACGAAACACTCTCCACCTTCGTGGTACGTATTTACGGTAGGCAGATATCGCGTCCCTCTTTCGGTTTGGCATGCATTGTACAAAGCGAAGGTTACCGAGGGCAGTGAGTACGCGCTCTTCACTGTGCCTCTGCAGCCTGACTCGCCATTTCTAGCCACCCCATGTTCCACTCTCTACCTCCCTTGTGTCTCGCCCCTTACCAGGTGCCCTAATCCTCTAAGAAGATCCTAGAGGGCAACGAGTACGCCTCTTGAATCTGACTGATCATTTCCCTCGGTCCCGTTCCTCTCCATGTTCCGCCCTACCAGGTGCCCCAATCCTTTAAGAAGATCATAGAGGACAATGAGTACGCGCTCTTCACTGTGACTCTCTTCAAGCCAGCACATCGTTCCCTTCACTCCCTTCTATTCAATCCTCCGTCCTTACACTCCCCTCTCCCTCCTCCCAGGTCCCCCAATCCTCTAAGAAGATAATAGAGGACAACGAGTACGCGCTCTTCACTGTGACGCTCTTCAAGCGAGTGGTGGACACGTTCAAAG